TCCTCAAAAAGAGTGGGGGTGTTGCCCTGGTGTCTTGGCCAAATTTCCCATGATTTCCCATTAAATTACCATATTATGATTTGCCTATCATAATAATCCCCATCGATGAATTAGCTTTTTCACTCTATTCTCCTCCCAGCTGATGGCTGGTGCGTGGTGAGCAGACAGGCGCATTATGACTGCCGTCACATCTTCCAGGTAGGGCTGCACATTTCAAGATCTGAAAGACCATGTGGAGACACATCGCAATGTTAAATGTGCTTCTGCAGTTTTCCCCTTGCACTTATGATTTGCTTCATTCAGCGCCCTTACCCCTGTGTCACTGCGCCAGAACGTGCCGAGAAGCTGCTTGGTAATTAACGCCAATGAATAAAGATTAACCGTTGCCATCAGACACCTGACAGCTGCGTTTGCTTTCATTTCTTTTTTCATTCGGGTTGAATTGAACAGGCTGTGCAAACTCAGGAGAACATAGCCCTCTGATCTCCTGGGCAGACTAATTAAAAATATTAATTATGATGATAATATTAAGCCATTCATCCAATGTTGGTTTAACAAGGCTGGGGTGTGACTAGCAGAGTTCTGTTTGGCGTTCTTTGATATCTCTATTTACAGCCTGTATGTACTGTAGCATCATCCCATGCAGCCCTTTCACACAGACCACAGCTGCTGGTGCTTTTCCTGGGAGGAATCAAATCACGATCTGCATGGCTGGGAGAAGGGCCAGAAGCGGCAGTGTGGGATGACACTCTGTTACTGAACTCCATGAATGACAAGTGTGGTACCTGCACTGAGGACTTTTTCGCAGCTCTCCAGCCCTCAGAACGTTTCCTCTGTCTAGACAGCAAGGCCTGCCAACAAGTGAGATACAGGTTGCCATCCAGGTTCCAAGGGAGTGACACCAGCTTCTGTAACAGGCTCAGTGCAACTCTCCTCTTCTAATCTCCTCCTCAGCGACTGATTGGTTTCACTTCCTGTTGTCAACGGCATGGTGCCAATGTGACATCAGTGTGCAGCTCTTGGCCCTCACTGGAATTTGATCACAGCTGCTCAAAGGCACCCTGATTTCAGAGCCACATACTGTAGCATTGTTTCCCTGAAAGCAGAAAATTCCCCTACACCAAAAGGCCTGACCTCCTGCCTCAGAAAAATTCAGCTTTAAGTGGGTTCCTAGGGGGTGACGTCATCATCTGCAGAAGGCTCATTGCTATTTAACTGCAGACCTCAGACATGGCAAAAAGACTTATTTTATCTCTGACTACATTTTGACACCTCCTCAAGATTGTATGTTTGATCATTGATTTGTGGTCACCTGGGGTTGTTAATTAGCTGATGGAGAGGAAGGAGAATATAGGTGCATGTCTGGTTTTCAGTGGCTGGAAAAAGCAGCCTCAATTTAATTGGGTTTAGAGTTTGAGTTTGGAGGTAAGTGTCTCCAATTGATTTGCACTTGAGCATTTTGTGTATCTTGGTGATTTTTTAATAATTATTCAGAATTATCTTTTTGTAGTCACTGTCTCTAACGCACACAGATACCAGCTGCTCTAGCTTTTAGTTTTTGTTTCAACACAGGCTCAGCATTTCAGCTACGCGATTCATGTTTTCAACTTCAGCCTTCTGATTTCTGTTCTTCGTTCAAGTTATTCATTATTGATCAATGATTGCATTAATTAGTTTTGGTTTATATCAAGGAGTCGTGCTGTATTAGCAAAAAGCAGCACAGTTAATAATTTAGAAAGGAAATTTGCATCCCTTATCTTAACTGTCTGCATAGGCTGACTGAGAAGATTATGCTTATGTAACATGTAATCTAATATTAACAAGAAACATCTTCTGTGAAAAATAGTGCAACTGTCCAGTTACTCCCACAACACTTATGTGCTTCTGCTGAATCCCAGCCTTCTGCCTGAGCATCTGTGTCAAGTCCAGCAGGATGTAAAGACCAAGCCGACGAGAATTTGTGTGTGTTTTGTAGCTTGGCTGTGCATCGTCGTACTGCAGTGCCTCTGTGCCCGGCTCTGTATTAATTTGCCCCAAGTATTGCGTCAGTGTGGAAAAGTTCCTGCTATTGTTCTTGGTTTGAAAAGTGTGTTACGGAACAGTCCGATAAAGAGTTAGTGCAGTGGAAAGTCCAGGTGAAAGTGACAGAGCTTTGCCTCCTCCTGCCTGTTGCTATCTGCTGTACTGTACACTGTGTTTATGGCTCCATGATTGTGCCCTGATAAATAGCCTAGGTGATAATATCAAAGAGGTATATATGTACTCTCCAACCAGGAAGCCAGTAGGACTGTCCTCACTGAGAGCATGGAGTCCTACAGCTTCTGTGCCCTGTGCCTGTGTCTGCTGAGTGGCCTGTCTGCAACAGAGGCTGCTGCTCCAGGTAGGCAATTCAGCACCCGCCTCGCACCTGCACAGCACAGCAACCTTCTTTTCTAGGCTGATGAAGGCTGTTCATATTTAATCATCTTCAATATGGCGTTTAAAGGACACTTCTGTAAAAGAGTTGATTATCTGGGAAAAGGAAAGCAAACATTTTACAATACAGAACTTGTAATTTGTTTGTTTGTTGCTCTTCCAAAGAGTGTGGGTATTTTTCACTGTGTGGTAGTGAAGTGCCTGTCCCCTGGAGAGCATCAGCCCAGCATAGAATGTCTTTAAACCATCAATGCTGATAAACTAAGGACACTACTGTTTAAGACAATTCATCATGTAAATTGTTTGAAAATAGAACACAAGCTCATTGAGACATACTGTTTTACAATTGGTCTTAATATTCATTTAGCTGATTTATCCAAAGCAACTTACATTGTTAGCCACTTCCACATTTGGGTGTTTTACTGGATCAATTTGAATGAAGTGCCTTGTTTTAGGGTACAGCAGCAGTTTTCTGCCCAAGAGTTGATCCCACAACTTTCTAGTTATGTCTCCAGAACCACAGCTACATCTCCACACTGCACTGCTGCCTGCCAATCTTCAAACTCCTATTTAATTCTAAGACAGCTATGATAGGGTTAAAATATTATGGTAAATTTCCAAGGTATACTTGGAGTGATCTAGCATGTGTTTTGGTCAGTTAGTGAGAGAGATACTGTATTGCTCAGTCCAGTTGTGTGTTTCTTCATATCTTTGGCAATCATGGTGCACAGCTGATGAGGAAGATCCTGCCTTCTGGAGACGTCAGGCTCAGGAGTCACTCCAAGCTGCCCTCAGCCTTCATCACAACACCAATGTGGCCAAAAACATCCTTCTCTTCCTTGGAGATGGTGAGTGGCCTTCACAGAGAGACTTCCACATGCTTCCTGAGGAAAACAACATTCCAAATCTCCTTCTCTTCAGGAGCACTCACAGGCAAATCTGCAATGTAATTTTGGAAAATTGGATTACATTCTGACAGTGCAGTAAACACAGCATGGATCAAAGAAATTGTGAAAGTTGTCCTGTTCTGATATTATTGTGTTACTAATTGGGAGTGTCAGAAATAAGGAAATACTGTAGACGTTGCAAAACAAATTATGTTGCATATTGCAATTGCTTTAGTCAGACTGCCCAGGGGGATTTAAAAAAACAACAATAAAACATTTCAATCCAATCTAAAACTAATCTCGTGTCAAATTAACACTGCTGTGCAGTGGTCAGTTTCCTATCTTAATGGATTATCTTTGGCATAACTCTCAGCTGATTTACTGAGTTTCTAAGTGTGTTATTTTAGTAATCCTATAATTTATCTAATTTTAAACATTATTCAGGAGTTGGAATGTTAGGAGGTCCTACAGAAAAACAACATTTTAAGAAACGCCCTTCACACCATGCTTTAGGTCTTGTTGCTCACTGTGTCCCTCTGCTGTGCCAACAGGAATGGGCATCACCACCCTAACAGCAGCCCGGATTCTGAAGGGACAGCTGGAGAACAGGAGTGGGGAAGAGACAGTGATGACCATGGACACTTTCCCATATGTGGGTCTGGCCAAGGTGAGGAGCTCCTAAGCACTCAGCCCACATTGCATACCTGTCTAGACAAACTTAATATCCAAGACAACTTCCTGATAAGCATTCCTATAAAGAGTGCATATAAGGCAATGTGTACTAACACTGTCTACAGGATACATTGACAGGATTGCCGATCAAACACAACTGTTTTTAACATTATCTGAAAACTCATCTGCCACAGCCAGCCTCTGCAGGGTTAATTCATGATATTGATGCATGAATATCTCTGACAAAAGCTTCAGGGAAGCTATTATGTTTATCTTTATTACTTCTATATTTATGGTCTTATAAATTTATGGCATTTGCATAACCACAGAGCCTGGTTTTGGAAACGCGGGTCTTATGCACAGTTGAGGTCTCCAACAATGATAGTTTCCTGTTTATTAAACTTAGTAGATATTGTATGATTGTTTGACAATCAGCTTTCTTTTACATAAGGCTAATTCATCTGTAGTACTACAGTAATCTGAATGCACTGCCAACATTTGTTTCTACACAGGTGAAGAAGGGCTTTTTTCTGCAATATCCTGTAACACATGTTTTTGATCATTGAAACATTGTGTACAACACAGGCATACTTTATTCTCCTTTCAGACTTTTGTTTGATACTAGTTCTACTGTTTATTGATTTTTGGAATGTAATCCTTTACTTACAACACTTTGCTTTTAAAGAGTGATTCTGCCCAGACTGTATACAGTCTATAGAAATGTAGGCATTAAAAGAGGGGCATTAAAAATGCAACAATTTTTTGCTTGAGCCAGCCCTGATGAAATTTTACTAAAATAAATTACATTCTTGCAAATTTCCCATGGCTGTAGCCTATATTTTGCTTAGTTTAACCAGACTTTATATCATGTTTTACCCAGGTATACTCTGCTTTACCATCATTTATATCATCATGTTTTACTGCCTTTAGTTTCTTGTGACACACATGCATCTCTGGGCACTTTTGTAAGGAAAGGAGTATGCAAAACATAAGAACATGTACAAAGGACGGGAGGCCATTTGGCCTGTCTTTCCCACTGGCTAGTTTAGTAGCTAAGTGAATCTAATATTTTATACAGCTGTTTTGCTGAACGGAACCAGAGGACAAGTCTTATTAATCCCAATTTCTGTTTGCTCCTTGTATGTCTTGTGCAAATAAACTAACATTCCTGTGGAGCAAAACTGGCATTGATGTAACAGTTATGTGTAAGGAAATGTGTAAGGAAATTGAAGACATGACTTTTCCAGTGGAAAGAAAGACAACAGTCTCTGTATGGTGTGACCTCAGGTTGTCATAATGGATGTTCTTGGGTTAAATGTGATACCAAGTGGTTGAACATCCACCACCCCAATGATTAGTTTAGAAAGGTCAACAGCTTGTCTTCCACCAGGTCAAAGCCACAGTCATCCACACATTATCCACTACAACAGTCTTTTTGTTGCCACTTCAAGAGCTGCCTGAGTCCTCAAAAGATGGTAGTTTTGTCATTCAGCAAGGACATACAAATGATTTTCGTACAGGCTGCATTCTGCGATCATTCTGTTCATTTGTCCTTGCTTCTTGATATTGTGCTGGTGCCGCTGCTATTAACAAATAGTTCTGGTATTGGTCCTGTCGGTGGTGGGGTTGGTATTTCTTGAGCAAAGTCCATCCTAGGAAAAAACAATTGGAAAAAAAAAAACATTGCCAATAGCACAAAGATGCAATTAGGTCTTGTTAGTTATTTTTTACAGCATATTGAGGAGGTGTCTGCTGGTCTTCTGGTTTTAAATATAAAGCACTGCATTTTCATTGCACATGTGCATATTGGGAAAAAAATATTTTATAAATAAAAAAAAAATGTTTTATAATATGCGTTAATGAGACACAAGAAAAAAACAAACAATCCAGAGTTCTGTGACATATTACTGCAGAGGAGTCGATATCTGTGTATTGTATGAAGTCACACAAGTCCAGAGACAGACAAGAAAATTATGAGAATGTGTGAGAAGTTGTTTTCCCTGCCTGGCATTGATTCCTCTTGATTTCTGCTGACTGATGTAATTGTTACTGGGAGAACACCATGTGAATCCTGGGAGCTAATCAAGAGTAATAAACCACAAGAGCAGAACAGAGCCACAGGGACAGTAAAAGCAAACTAATCACATGACCACCAAAGATCCACACTCCCACATCAGCTTTAACCTGTATTTCTTCACTTTTACAACATCCTCACCTTCATGTGTATGGTGGAATTCAGATACCACACCCTCTAGTCTGTGGATATCAATATACCATGGGTATCTGAAGGTTAATAAGAATCTAAACAGACTTTGAATTTGTATTATGTCAGAGTTAACTGTCATGCAGGGCTCCTTTGCCCATATTAGAGATCATCAGTGCAGCACAGATAATCATGACTACGAACCTGGCATACACTGTATATGGGTACACCTTTCAGAGTCATGGTGTCTTTTAAGACCAGGTTTAAAAAAAAATTAAAGTTTTTTTTAGAGTAGAAAAGTATTGATTGTTATAAACTTATCCAATTTGGCATCTCCAATTATCTTTTGTAGTTCACCCCCGATTTGTGCCTTCTCTTGGGGAATTGTAGTAACAGTCTGCTAGTGACTTGGCCCGAGCCTGAAACTGTGGTGTCTGAATCATAGTGGTACACTGCATTTTGGCAAACACCTCTACTGGCTGAGCAACTTGGGAGCCCACAGCGGTTGAAATGATTTATGGAAATGTGAATATTAATATTGACTGTGTGCTCTTTAAAGACACTAAAACTCTGAAAAGTGTTCCTCGTAAGATATCTGATTTCACAACAAAACATTCTGTGTTATTTACAGCAGAGAATCAGGTATTGATGTTGCACTCCATTCATGAATTTATAGCAGAGGCAGTGATGGTCCTTAAGCTGAGCTGTTTCTTTTGCTGTACAATCAGGCACTTTATTTCAAGGTGGAGTTAGAGAGCGATCGTGAAGGGTTAGTGGAGTCTGTAAATAGAACAGCAGATCAAACATAAGGCTAGCAGAGTACTTCATAATATCCCTTGTTCAGCAGCATCGCTGATGTTCTGAGCATATCTAAAAGGGTCTTTATCCTCCACTCACTCTCCAGTCTCCCCAGAGTGCCCTCCACGCAGGAGATGAAAGACAGCTAATGGAGACTGTGGGAAGATGTTGCAGTGACAACAGGGCGTTTTTTTTTTCTTACTCAGGAATGGCAAGGAGCCATCACAAAATGTCAGGGGTTGAATAAATGAACGTACTTGTGGTGCCACTAACAAATGTTCATCGCAAACACTTCATCTGTGTTGTTTTCTTTAAGGTCAGCCTTTACACAGATAAAATGATCTGCATGATAATAAAACATATTCAGTTCAAATTTTTTTGTTGGACTTGTAGGACATACATAGCCTAGGGGATAATCTATGGAATTAACAGCATCTGCAGAGACAGCAAAATAGGTCTCTCAGATATACTGTACATCTCATCTGAAAGACAGAACATAAAAAAATGCCACAAGTTTTAAAGTGTGAAATAGGGCGTTAGTGCCAATACTAATGCCTAAACTGGGAATAGACTGATTATGAACCCTTGACCATAACCACTGGACCACCTAATCTTCAGTACAGCCCAAATTAACAGGGTGAAACACTTACGTAAACAGTGGTATGTACCTACGTAAAGACATAAGTGCACAGCAATGTAATTATTAAGGAGGATTTTATCCATCCATCCTTTTTTTAACCACTTCATCCAATACAGGGTCACAGGGGAGCCGGGGCCTCTCTTGGCAAGCAATGGAAGCAAGGCAGGGTACACCCTGGGCAGGACACCCGTCTGTTGCAGGACTGACACACAAAAATAGAAACACACATTCACACCAGTTTTCCCAAAAGCCAATTAACCCACCAGTATGTCTTTGGATTGTGGGAACACACCAGAGTACACAGAGGAATCAGAAACATGGGGTAAACACTGATGGCAAAGCTAACCACTGTCCTACCCTTGCTTTTATTCTAATTTAATCTTCAATTGAAGCAATATAAACCCATGCTATATATACATTTATCCATCATTTGTTTAGATTCCTAATTTATTAAAACAGCTCCCTACTTGCATATTTAGTCAAAGCAGTGGAAAATTGTGCTAACAGGCACATTATCTATTCTAATTAAAAGAAGATGCTAAATTAAGGAGAAGTTTGCTCATGTACACAGACATACCTCTCAAAGCGTCTCCTCACTATGAATTTCTCAATTGCCGATTTTGGCTGCAACAGCTAACGTAAATGAAGTCCTCTAACGTTCTCGCAGACCTACAGCGTGGACTTCCAGATCCCAGACAGCGCCAGCACGGCCACAGCCTACCTGTGCGGGGTGAAGTCTAACCTGAACACTGTGGGACTGAGCGGTGCTGGCCGCAATGGGGTGTGTCGTTCACAGAAGGGAAATGAGGTCACCTCCATCCTCAGATGGGCCAAAGATGCAGGTACTGAGAACCAAGCCACCATCCCTGCCATCCCACAATCTCATCCTGCTCCAGCTTTCAGAGAAGATCTGCAGGACTCTAGAGGTCCTGTCACAATAGAATGAGAAGCTAAGGCACACATACTTAAGGAATGTTGGACTTGAGCGTTGTGCAGGATCTGATGCAGATGCTTGTTTGATGAAGATGCTTCTTCCGGTTTTGTGGAAAAACTGAACAATCTCACCACGTGTTTTCATATGAGGGCTTATTATTAAGAAAGCTACTTCTGTAAATCATTTTGCAGTGTATATGAAGTTGTACCTTAACATTCCCAACTGCTTAGATTCTAAATGAATAGTTCAATGAAGATACAACCAGAGTTCCTGAGTTTTGCTAAAGTCTGAGTCTTTGTGTAGACCTTTTCTGTATTTTGCATTCTTCTCCTAAGCTTGTTACTTAATGGAAATATAACATACAGAAAATAAGTAATGTATTAGTTCATTTTCCTAACCCACACCATTACATAAGGCCACAAAACAATCAACAATGTGTAAACACTTAAAAGCTCTAAAATACATGTGGTGAGGTTGTATGGACAGAGATTTAGCATATTAATATATTGAAACAATTGTACCTAATACATCAAGGATAACAGAACAAGATAAAGAAATGACTGCTTTAGTGTTATGAATTGTGGACTTTGAGCTTTGTATTTTAAAGGTGAAATGAAAGTGATGCAATAGAAGGGCATTAAATCACAGGGCTCAATCATTGGAGCAGTCTGAACAGATGGGCCGTAAGGTTGCACTGGAAGGTGGCCAAAGATGGTGCAGTTTCTAGATATCTTGTCTTTCTGCAATGGGAAGACAGAAAGAGACAACACAGTGACCAGCAGGAGCAATACTTTCCTGTACATTTACAGCATGGCTCGAAATTCAGCCACATCAAGAGAAAGAGGGATAAGATCATCTTTACAACCATCCATTATTATGAAGAATCTTCATACAACAAGATATCATCAGCCCCCATGGTCTATATCACATTTCAGTCATTGCAGAGTTCTTAGTTCTTAAACTATCTTAGTCCAGTAGTTAGTTTCTTGAATTTATGTAGCATCTGCTAAGCATGTGACACAAACAGGTTTTTTTGTGTTACAGAAAATTCCACAGAGACAGTGCAGCAAGGCTGTTTGAAGCTTTATGGATTAGGAGTAAAATCCTAAAAGCTGTTCTTTATTTTACTGGAAAACAGTGGAGTGGCTTGAGTACAGGAGTAAAATGAATAACTGTGATATTAGTTTTTTACTTCTAACCCCTAATGCTTTTTCTAAGAAAAGCAAAATTCAGCAGTTCAGTCAAACAGATTAGGGTGGGGTAAGATTTACTACTCCAAAGGGTAAAGATGGGGTGAAACGGAGGAGGTTTCAAAGACGTACATTGTGAAAGCAAGCAGTGTGATATTGATACATAGGTATAGTAGGTAGAGGTCTGGACTCCTCCCAAACTTCTGTTTTAAAACTCCACGTCATGTTTCTGTCTGTTCTGTCAAAACCCTCTGTTTCTCCCCCGGCAGGCAAGTCTGTAGGGATCGTGACAACGACGCGGGTTCAACATGCCACCCCAGCTGCGGCCTATGCGCATAGTGCCAGCCGCAAGTGGTACGCAGACTCAGACATGCCAGCCAGTGCCAAGGAAGGGGGCTGCAGGGATATTGCCCACCAGCTGATCAACAACATTGACATTGATGTGAGTGTTTATGTACATCATCCCCTAGGACTACATATGAATTGAGTGGTCTCCTTTGCAAAGGGTCAGACCTGAGGTCTTATTCCAGAAAGAGTTAGCTGCCAGGCTTCTTGTTTTTAGAGACAGGATACCCTAAGAGGATGGCACAGTGGTGCAGTGGTTAGCATTGCTGCCTCACATTGCAGGGGCCCTGGAGTCAGTGCTGGACCTGAGGTGCTGCCTGTGTGGAGTTTGCACTTTGTGTTCTCCCTGTGTTCACATGGATTTCCTCTCGGTGTTCTGGATTCCTCCCACAGTCCAAAGACATTCTGACAGATTAATTGGCTTCTGGGAAAATTACCCCGAGTGTGAGTGTGAGTGTGAGTGTGAGTGTGAGTGTCTATGTGTCTTGTGATGGACTGTTTACAGGTCCAAATGACAAGCCTGTCTCAACATTTCCTCTTAGACCTATGTTAAGTGTTTTCTTCTACACCACCACCTGTTGGAATGATGATGACCTGAAGTGATTCCTGTTATATTTATTTTTATGGATAAAACAATTACTCATATGGAGAAAAAAATGTGCAATCATTGCATAAATGCCTTTCTCTCTTTTGGGGAAAATAATAAACATGAACTTCAACTAAAGGGAGAATGGGATTTCAAATAATAAGTGTTTACTGGTTGGTCTAGATTTTTATTTCAGAAAACCTATTTAGATTAGCTATTTTTAAATAAATCACTACTTCTAATTAGCAGTCGTAAGTTGTTTTTTTTACTTTAGAGGTTGCTTATGTATAAAAATCTGAGGGCCTTTTCACTTGATACCAGGCAACTTAACTGGGACAGATGCCAAAAATTGTGGTTCTGTTTCAACCAAGATGGTGTCTTGACCTACATATTCAAAAAAAAACTTTTGTCAACTTTTTCTTATGAACCATTGCATGAATTAAATAAATACGGAAACTTCACCTTAAATTCAAAGTAATAATATAATAATAATTTTCAATAAAGTTAGATTGCATTTGGGCTATGACCTCATCATAAATTATATAAAGATTTCTTGCAAGGATGTTCAAAAGTAGTATGGCATAGTGGCACAGAGATTAGCATTGCGGCCTTGCAGCACTGGGGACCTGGGGTCAATTTCAGACCTGGGGTGCTATCTGTGTGGAGTTTGTGTGTTAACCCAGTGTACATGTGGAATTCCTGTGTGTGCTCTGATTTCCTCCCACAGTCGGAAGACTAGTAAGCTAATTAGCTTCTGGGAAAACTGTGTTCATATCTGTGTCTTCCTTGCAATGGACTGGAACCCCTTCTGGGGTGTACCCTGCCATGTGTCCATTGCTTGCTGGGATAGGTTCCACCACCCCCTTGACCCTGAAGTGCAAGAGGGAGTTAGAAAATGGATGGATGTTCAACAGTGATGTGCAGTTTAGATGACATAGCAAATGGCATACAGAGAACTGGCAGTGGTGCTTTGACTGAACCATAGGGAATTTTCTTTCATTTAATCTGGAAATAGACTACTGATGTTAGTATTGAAGTGCACATTTACTCTACTCATCCCACAGCTGCATGATTGGATACAGATTCATTGACACTGTGTGTCGTTGACATAGAAAATCTTCAGTGGTCCTTGCCATACAGGGAATTTGTAACATCATTTTGGAATATCCAGGGCTCACATTGCCATTACTGTGAAAAAAATTCCTTAAAGGTACCTCTACAAAAGCTTTTGTAGTTTCTGTCTCTGCTATTGTCACATGTGACACAGATCTGGGACATCACACTTCACCAGGATCCAAGAGGTTGTTAAACAAGTTGATGCGTAGCTCCATTAGCACTACCAGACAGTACTAAATCATGATGCTATCTATTTTTGAAATCTTGATGTCTAATTTAAATGTCAGCTTTTGTATATAGGTTTTTCCTCCTGTCAGCTGGTTGCACACATTAGTCCATCAATGGTGGTTGACTGAAAACCCTGCTCGTTCCATTTCACACAATTCCTGCCATCCCCTGTCACAGGGAGTGTTTCCACTCTAATTTCTGAACCATGGCCTTGTAGCATTTTGAATAAACCTGGCAAACCAATGATCATTTTAAATTGTGCACCTACAGTAACTCCCAAGAACGCATTTCCTTCCACACACGTTCTGTGACATTTTCAGTCATTTTATACTTAATTAATGAAGAGTGAAAAAGTGTCTGACAGATCTAACATTTCCCGCAGGCTTATTGCTAGGAGAGAGAGGTCAAGTGTTTCAAAACACCACACTTGCTTTCCAGCACTGTTGGTATATAGTTTACAAAAGGCTGCATCTTGTTAAAGAGTAAATAATTAAAAGCAGTACGGCGGCGGGAGGGATATTTGCAGTGCCTGGGCTGGGCGTCCACCTGTGGTCAGTGCTGTTCCTTATGTTGTTCTTGCACTGCAGGTGATCATCGGAGGAGGCCGGAAGTACATGACCCCCCGCGGCACCAAGGACCCCGAATATCCTTATGACCTGGCAGCAGCGGGGAGACGTGCAGATGGGCGGGACCTGATCGCTGAATGGCAGAAGAGCAAAGCTGGAAAAGTAAGAGGCAGGACGTATGAGAATCTCCCATCAACACAGCTCCTGTTATTTCACTTCCCCTTTGTCAAATTATCCTTTAATTCTGTTATATGTGAGCGGCTGAATACCGCAGTGGTTAGCATTGCTGCCTCAAAGCTTTGGGGGTTCCCTGGGTTCAATCCCTAGGGTGCTATCTGTGAGCAGTTTGTATGTTCTCCCTGTTTTGGTGTGTGTTTCCTCCAGGTGTTCTCATTTCCTCCCATAGTCCAAAGACATACTGGTAGGAATAGTTGGCTTCTGGGAAAATTGGCCCTGGCGTGAGTGAGTGTATCTGTGTTTATGTCTGGTGTGCCCTGTGATTGACCAGTGTCCTGTCCCACGTGTACCCTGCCTTGTGCTCATTGCTTGTAGGGATAGGCTCCAGGCCACTTGCAACCCAGTTTTGGAAGAAGCGGTTAGAAAATAGTTGGATGGTTGAATGGATGTATTACATGTTATGAATCTTAAAGTTGTTCACTGCTTTGAGAACTGGCTCTCATGCAGTACTTGACCACATTGGCTCCATCATGTCCTCAGATTGCAAGTAGCTTCCCAACCAAACATCAGCTGAAACAAGATGACATCTTGGTCAATGCTCTGACCTCTAAACTGGTGTCTGTTTGGACAGGTTGCTCACTATGTTTGGAACAAGAAAGACTTTGATGCTATTGACTCTAACACCACAGACTACCTGATGGGTAAGTCAGGACCCCCGTACTGAGTCTTCGCAATGAAGCCCCTCTGTCTTTGTTAATTCTTACTCAAACACGTCTAATAGAACTGAGAATTTCTCAGTCGTATGGAAGAGTAACCATTTTTTATACTTAATTTTAAGTAAATTTGCTCTGGATAGACATACTGTATAGAGCATAGAAAGCTAAATAAAATTTAGTGATAACACAGTTCATTAAATACACAAATATTGCTTATTAAACTGCATTTAGTTGACAGCAATTTCTCTTGTAAGACTATTGAACATGTCTTCTTCCAGAAAATAGTAGATGTTCCAGTGCATTAATTTAAAACATGTGGTGCCAGTGTTTGTGAGCAAATTGATATATTGCCAAATGTATTGGTACAATCTTCCTTATACCTGTAATGGTTGGTACCACAGGGCTTGCACTCCATAAAGGGCATGTGTGGTAGACTACTGGTATGTCATGCCAATCTGTACCTTCCACAGCCAATTCCTGCCAGTCTGGACCAGACCTCTGTTTTTCAGCATTGAACTGCACTCTTTACCACATTATATGTTTGTCCACCTTTAACTTTTATGGCTTTTTATGACTTTTATGGAAATTTTATGGCTTGCTAAACTTGACTTTGTACACAGTGTACACCTTGAGACATACCAGAGTGGGACCCAGACGAGGCAGGTTAGGAATTATAACATCTCTTTGAAGTGAAAAGTGAAACAAATCCTATTTCTGTTCTAAAAAGCATTCCCCAGGAGTTCAGCAACTACCTTGGCCTATCTTCTGTGTGAAAGCCAGTTGCATGCAAAAGGGGTGGATGCACCTCACAGATTGAGCAAAGACAGATAACTCCTTAAATACATGACTGAACAAATTCTCAACTGATCAAGGCTCTACTGAGAGAAAATGCTGCTACAGCATGAATACAAAGATCTGTTATTTGACTTACGTACATTTTGAGGAAGAACTGGAAGACCAGAATTCACTGTCTGGTAAATGTGCTGTGGGAGGAAAGGACTGCAGCATTCAGTGATGACACTGGCAGGCCTGCACCCTATAAGATCAATGGTGAACTGCTGTCTTTTTGGGTTTTTTTGTCATTTATTCCAATTTTATTGGTGGGAGAGATGTATGTGTAAGGCAAGGCACACATATACTACAAAGGAATAAGTGAAGGTCAATTCCATACTGAAATGTTTAAAAAAAATAACATTTTGGATATTGAGCTGAAGAGGAAGGCCCGAAGAAGACTCAACAGCTGAAACATGTTTTTTCATGTTTCACTTTTTCAGTGTGCTCTTGACCTTTACTTGTTCCTTAGAAGCCTGCGCACACCAACACAATTCCCCCACTAAGTTCTTAGTGCATTGCCTGTAGTTCTGTGTCACTTATGCTTGTCTACACTCTTCATCCCTGCAGCTCTTTTTGAACCTGGGGACCTGAGGTTTGAGCTGGAGAGAGACCCTGTTAAGGACCCATCGGTCATCGAGACCACTGAGAAGGCTATCCAGATCCTGCAGAAAAACCCCAAGGGCTTCTTCCTGCTGGTGGAAGGTAATAGTCCATGTGGATCCCCACTGGCCGTGCTCGTCCCATTGAAAATGCAGGGGACTATCTTTAAATCATTCACATCATGCGTTTATGCAGAAATTAAAAACAGATGTTTTATACATGGTAGCTTGGTAGAAAATGCAAACTTTTCTGTTTGTTAGCTGTCAGGTTATCCCAACTGTGCAATCCAATGAAAGCAATTTCACTAATTAAAAGGCATTTGATGGATGATATGACCAACAAGTCTGAGAACGTGATTGTTTTGGAGATGTGAAGTTTGCTTTCTTCAGTCACTGGGTGCATCACTTTTTTTCAATTTCACCACAAGGCATCAATAAATCAAATTAAACACCTGATGCTGTTCTTGAATTTTAAATGTTAACCAGCATGGTTTCATTCTAACCACCTCCTACTAAACACCATCCCACTATGGGAGAGATCATAATGAGCAGCTCTGTTAGCTGTTATACTTTCATTCTCCATTTAGACACATCCCTACACATATGATCAGCTTATTAATACAGAGCATGCAGTGTTGTTTTGCTAGTTTAAATTTTTGCATACTTGCATACACCAATGTTGGAAACAATACCAGAGCAGTACAGTTCAATCATTTTGAAGTGCTGCTATATGACAGTTCATCCATTTTCTAACTGCTTTTTCAGGGTGGCAGGGGAGCCAGAACCTAGCCTATCGGCAAACAACAGCCTGGGTGGGATGCAAGTACATTGCAGGGCAAACAAACAGACACAACCACAGACAGGCACACACTCACACCAGAGCGCCCGGAGGAAACCCATATAAACACAGGGAGACATAAAAACTCCATGCAGATAGCACAACAGGTTGGGAATTAAACCCAGGGTCCCCGCACTGCAAGGCAGCAATGCTAAACCCTGTACTTCAGTGATGGTTAAGCTGAAGTAAGTTTTTCTTTGGCCACAGAGTTTCATTGTGGAGTTATTTTGATTGTGTCCCTCGTTTGGCCTTAACTTTAGCTGCTGTATACAGTATATTGTTCACTGCGATTGCTTATTGGATGAACTGGATGATAGATGGAAACGGTTTTCCAATATGTCTGCATTTTTTCTGTGTTGTGCTTGGTCATAGGTATGCCTGTTTTGACCACTGAGCACCTCTTGCGAATTGTGATTGGCAAGTGAGATTGCTTTCAAGTAGGACATCACACTTGCTGTACGGTTTTTAATCATTTTTGCTGGAATAGCCACATGTCAAATTTCTCTAATCCCAGGCCTTGTGACCTAAGAGAGCCCAGATTTCTGATATCCACTACAGCTTCTAATTATTTTTAACTGTTACTATTCTTTTTACTGTATGTGTTTATTTTTTTGCAGTGGTAGTACGTGATGAAATTTCGTAACGTGCAATTATTTTGGACACAACATAAAATGGAATTTTTAATTCTTTAAGAAGCAGGGGACCTCCCAGAATCAGAAACCTAAATTGTCAATGAGAAACCTGCCCTGGCGCAGGGGACTGCTGGGCCAGTGAGTGTCATAGGGTGACACAAGTGTTGTGATTGGTGGGAGGTGTCTTCTTCACTCAACAAACATGTGCACTTTTCCTGTGTCCCTCCTCAGGTGGGCGTATTGACCAGGGGCACCATGCCAGCAGGGCGTCCATGGCACTGCATGAGGCTGTCGCACTGGACAGAGCAGTGGCACGGGCACTGGAGATAACCAATGAGAATGACACGCTGACCCTTGCCACTGCGGACCACTCCCATGCCTTCAGCTTCAATGGATATCCCTTCAGAGGGAATCCAATCCTTGGTAGGTCAATTCACTCTGGTCATACACGGGGAGTTCTTTAGCTAAGTGAGCTAGGCAGTCCAGTCGTCAAGGTAAATGGGTTTATCTGGTGCTCCGATGCAAGCACCAAACCCCATGCTTTTTCACTAACTCACTGTGCATCTTTCTTACCAGGATAGTGAAGCTCCTTCCTTTTAAATAGGATCAAACCTATCAGCCTACCTAATTAAGCCAACTAATTAAGGTTTTGAAATCCATTTTTTATTTGCTCCGGACATACAGTAAAACATTCACTCACAATAAAGACCATCATCCGTTCATCAGTTTCCAATAACCACTTAATCCAGTAGAGGGTAATGGTGAACGGGATCCTAATTCAGTAGACAGTGGGTGCAAGGCAGGATACACAGTAGATGAGATACCAGTCTGGAACAGGGCTCACACATACACTTCCACACAAGGCAATTTATAGAGACCAATCTAATCTACACAGCATGTTTTGGGGAATATGGGAGGACTGTGCAGACTCCACTTGGAGTGCAATTCAGGCCAGAATTGAACCCAGGTCCTAAGAGCTGCAAGGATATTCTGAACTTAAATGAAAAATAAACATTATGTTTTAAGACAAATAGGGGCGTGTCAGAGATTTACAGTACATGCTGTGCATCTGATTTAGGACCCTGGAACTGGAATTAGGAAACATTGCATACCATATTTCTCAGCTTTGTTTCTAATGAAAGTACAATCATTGTTATTCCCAATCCTCTCCTGCCTGAGAACATAAAAAAAATCATTGTGCATTTCCAACATCAAGTAGGAGAAACAACCTTCACTTTCAAGGGTGATCTTGTGGCAACAAACATAGTAAAGCAAGACAAGAACTGCATTTCCAGCAGATGATTGTGCATACTGCCCAACTGTGCAAGTATCAAACAAATGACAGGAGATGAGAACGGGATGAAGTCCAATTCTCTGGGGGAGCTACTGTATGTAGTGCAGAAAAGGTTTTTGAAAAGTCTTCCTGCTCGACTTCACAAGACATTCCTGAATTTGGCTCTTCTCTGCTGCATGTCTCTTGGCATTTCATTGTATATTTCTTTTCTGTGTGCAGCAGAGATACAGGCTGAACATGCCTCAAGGCCACACAAGTAATCAGGTGAATGAAAATCTCACAGCACCTAATTTGCAGCTCTAGGGAAAGACCCATCCCCATTCTTAATCACTTAGATCCAATTACTTTGCCCTTTATCTTCACAGTTGGAGCCAGGGGGTCTGACCAATTTGGGCATGCACAGCAGAATAAAAAATCTCCAGGTGTAAAGCCCATTCATTTTAAGAATAATGCACATCCTGAACATTGTGTAATGTCTGTCTGCATAAGCTATCTGTATGGTGTCTGGGGTAACTCGTGCTTTAAATCCCTTCTGCATTCGAGTGGATTTCACAATCCCACCAGACAGGCAATGGAAAACCTGCTGTTTCACCGGAATTTGCCTCAGTTACCTAATCACTAACATGCATCCCCAGAAGCTAGATTCAGATCACTTATGCTGAGCTCAGTAAGGGCTCCATGGGTACACATCCACCTGGTTAATGATTTATGATAAATCAAACAAGTAACATAAGAACATACAAAAGGTCCCAAATGTGAGGAGGCCATTCAGCCCAGCTACTGTATCTCATTTGGTTACACAGCATATCATAAGATAGATGAGATGTTATTTAAAAGGTTAAGTAAAATATACAGAAACATTATATCAGTTTTTTGACATTGTTGCTCAGTGTAAGCATACATTTCTTCAATGCACTCCTAATAACAGAAAGCTTCTGACTTCTTCTTAAACTACCCAGGGCTATGTCTGGACAATAGAGAGGACAGTTCAGCTATTCATATCCTTACTAATGATAACCCTTCTGACTCAAACTGGTTTGTGAACCGTTTGGTTGCACAGTAGCGGAAAACTGTTTAACTTTCCCTGTCATTATCACACTACCACAAGAAAGTGACCAGAACGATGACAAATGACTACTTTGCCATTTGTCATACTTTGGGTGACATGTAATGAACTAGGAGCACTACTCTTTGTACCCCAGATCATGTGGTCCATAACCTTGCCAGGAATGGCCATGGTGTAGAATTTTAAAATGCTGGATGCTTCCAGCACACTGACACTTCATCTCAGTGCTGTGCTTATGTCTTATCATCACTAGTAATTAAGTGGATTCTGAACTTTTACTGTATGTCAGAATCAAAGGACTGCATCAGCTCTTCATGGCATGAATCTCTAGTGGCTATGGGCTGAGGTTTTTGAGAACTCATCAGACAGAAAGATTTGACAAACCAAAATGTCAGGAATGATTTAATAATAATAATAATAATAATAATAATAATAATAATAATAATTGCTTACACTTATATAGCGCTTTTCTGGACACTCCACTCAAAGCGCTTTACAGGTAATGGGGACTCCCCTCCACCACCACCAATGTGCAGCATCCACCTGGATGATGCGACGGTAGCCATAGTGCGCCAGAACGCTCACCACACACCAGCTATTAGTGGGGAGGAGAGCAGAGTATAGAAGCCAGTTCATAGATGGGGGTTATTAGGAGGCCATGATTGGTAAGGGCCAATGGAAAATTTGCCCAGGACGCCGGGGTTGCACCCCTAGTCTTTTTGAGAAATGCCCTCTCTCCACAGAGAGCCAGGACCTCGGTTTTACCTCTCATCCGAAGGATGGCGCCTGTTTATAGTATAGTGTCCCCCGTCGCTATACTGGGGCATTAGGACCCACATGGACCGCAGGGTGAGCACCCCCTGCTGGCCCCACTAACACCTCTTCCAACAGCAATCTTAGTTTTTCCCAGGAGGTTTCCCATCCAGGTAGATACCAGGCTCATACCTGCTTAGCTTCAGTGGGCTGCCAGTTGTGAGTTGCAGGGTGATATGGCTGCTGAGATTAAGTCAATCACATTTAAGTCACAGATAAGTCATTTAATCTCAAGATGTTTTGGGTCATTAAGAGCTGAGCTGGAATGAAAACCTTTAGCCATACCAGTCCTCAAGGACCAGGCTCTGAAAAATGCCAAAACTGGTCAGCTGAATAGAAACTATCACTTCACAACAGAGGATCCTGTGTCCAACGGTCAACCAGGAATGGGGTTGTCTGCCATGCTTAAATGCTGTGGGATAATGAATAGCAACTTCCTATAACAAAGCAGCCATGAACTTATGTAATTCTTTTTGCAGTGCATCCTTCCTTGTATAAAACCCTAATAGCTAGTTGTTGCTCAAACCTTAAAAAGTGTCTGAAAACAACAGTATGTCATTAGTGCTCCAAAGATAGGACATGAAATCAGACATGTAATCTCAGCAGGTCTTTCAATGACACGTGTGATAGTCTCAGTCTATGCATGTTAGTTGCTTAGCTTTAAGAATGTATTTTAATATCACACATAAGAAGGAAGAGGGAGAGTTATTAAACTTGGATGCTTCAGGGCCAGTCCAACAGGGTTTATAGGACTCTTTGAGTCAGCAATCCTCACTCTTGTTCATGGAGAGCTAGGGGTTTACTTAATTACTGAGCCTTGACCTCTTTATGGCTTAATTAATTACCCTGCCCATAATAAAAACAAGGATTGGTAAGTCAGCACATGATAGAATTATCAGCCTTCTCTGTGGCTGCCAGGTCAGGCCCTGTATGACACACAAGGACCATGTGATATCAGATATCTGTTTGTCTGCTGCAGTTTGCACATCGTATTGAGTCACAGCTGTATTATCTCATAGACAAAAACAGTTCATTTTAAAATGGGCTGACTCTATAGCCTGTGTTTTTTTATGAGTTTGCGATCGCTTTCAAATATTCTCTTTGAGCTGCGACATTGAAGAGCTAATTAGAGCTCAACCGTCTACTTCTGTGGAGGTTTATTTTTAAGCTTTCAAACAGCCCTGACATTTATCTCTCTGCAATTACCACCAGAACAATTAGAGGAAAACCACCCTGTTCTATATTTATCTGCAGTGACTATTTACCTCATTAATGAGCTCATGATTAATTCAGATCTAAACAGGGATCACTTAATCATGTTATCCTGAATTATTAATTATTCTAAAAAAAAACACATTTTGCCTGAGAGTGATTTATGTCCAATAACCTACTGTATTTTATTTTAACACTCTAGTCTCATGCTTGCTTCCAAAAGACTCTTTTTGGATTACAAAATGTTTCACTCCAAAGTCTTCTTAGCACTGTCTGTTGTGCTACTTACTTCAGACAATATGACAACAGTACGAATAATGATATACTGTATACTGTAGATAGGACAAACAGGAACAAAGAGATTCATGTAGAACTATAGGCTAACAATTAATGGCTAGATAAATTGCCATTAATACAAGAAGTCAGTCCCTTCTTTTCATCTAACAGTTACCTGGAATAACTGAATTTACTGTATGCTGAGGACACAAAATCACTAGGTAGCCATTACTGCTTTTTTTGATTCTGCAGAACTGAGGAGATTCCCTGTGTCATCTAAAGGGATGGTAGGTTCTGATGTGTTATCACTGGAGCACGTGGCCTCCTTCATGATCCCATTGAGAGTCTCAGACAAGATGAGCTGGGAAAGGGGTGAAGAGTACTGGAAAATTGGGGTGGATCACCATGCTTCATCCACCCTTTATCAGAAAGCCACTTTTTTCTTTTTCCCAAAAGTATAGGGTGCAAAGCAGGACTACAGCTTATTAACAACAAATCAGAGTCACCAATTAGCTTTGATAGCATGTCTTTGGGGGGCTGGGGGAAAGAAGGTAGCCCAGGACAGAATCGAACCCAAGAGTCCTGAGGTACCAGTTCACTTACTGGCACAAGAAAGGAGCCTGAGAAGGTCTGTTTTTTTATAAAACAGTGCTTGGAAGATGTTGTATTTGAACTTTCTTTAATACCAGCAGTGTTAAAAAGTGGGCCTGTGGTTTATCTGCTAGATATGATCTTTGATGAAGAGAAAGCCTACTAGTATGTTATCTGAAGATGTCTGATGTGTGTTTATGCGACTGTGTGTGAGAATATATACTGTATGTTTATAGACTTTCTTTATTGTTTGGATAACTCTGTATTTGTTCCCAATAGGAAAATCCCCACTATTTGGGAAGGATTCCTTACCCTTTACAACACTGATGTATGGGAATGGCCCAGGACATAAAATTGTGAACAACAAGCGGCCAGATATCAGAGGAGTAGACACAAGTAAGAGGAAATTCTAACTCATTTTTATATCTGTTAGAAAACTCATCAGATTCCCACTGCATAACAGGTTGGTCTGTTTCAGATTTCATAAGCTGCTGACTCTTACATAAGCCCTCTACTTGGATGGATATTTCAATATTATTTCTTTTGTTCATCAGATATATGTGGAGCTATTGGGGTTAAATGTACTGTCACAACATTGCTTTAATCAACACCAGCAGCTTGCAACTGGGAAAACCTGAATTTTGTTCAAACTGTTCTGCAATAGGAGTCTTACCTGCATGCTCATCCATCCATTTTCTAACTGCTTCTTTCAATTCAGGGTCATGGGGGTGCCAGAGCCTATCCTGGCAAACAATGGGCACAAGGCAGGATACACCCTGGATGGAACACCAGTCTATTGCAGGGCAAACACAGACACACTCACACCAGGACCAATTTTCCCAGAAGCCAGTTGACCTACCAGTATATTTTCAACTGTGGGAGTAAACTGGAGCACTCTCAGGAAACACAGACATATACAGGTAGAACATACAAACTCCATGCAGATAGTACCTCAGACCCAATGCTGTGAGGCGCTATGTGAACCATTGTGCCACCATGCCCACCGCTGCATACTCATTTTGTTAATAAACAAGACAGTACAAAATAACGATAAAATATTTTCATTAGCTTTCTTTAATCTGTTGAAGGGTTTTTTTTTCTCTAATATCACCATTCTAGACAAACAATCCCCCAGTTTCCATTTGCAGTCTGGTACTGTTTCTTCTCATGTTCCTGTGTCAGAGTGTTGCATGTTAAAGTATGATTTTGCAGCTACAAGCAAGCAAAATAAAGTATCTTCATGGTAGAGAAGATTGCACACTGACACACATGCGCATTTACAGGGAATCAGTTCAGTTAAAGGTTTTTATTGGACTGTATCCCCGAACTTCAAAGATAAACAGAGGCTTTAGTCTGCACAATATTCTGCTTGTACACATTAAACAAACAATCTCTCCATTTCCAGGCAAACCATAAATTGTGTATGTTTAAGCTGACTGTGCTGAGAGTAAATGTAACTTTTGACTCATCACTACAATTTTATTTGCTGTATGCAGTGTCATGATAGTGTCTTTATTAAAGATATACTGTAAGCTGGACCTACTGTATAGTAAATGGGAACGATTTCAACACATACACAGAGAGCAAGATAAATTAATGTTGCTTTGTTCTTGCAAGGCAATGTGACAGTAGAACAGTTTTCACAAATTGAAACTACAAATTCTGGAACCATTAATCTCCTCCTGCATTTATATCTGCTCATATTTCAAAGTTGCTTTACATCTGCTGTTGAGAATGCATCACCTGAGTATTTTGTGAATGGCTTAGTCAAATAGACATTGTACCTCAGCTAGAGTTAGCCACGTAGCATTCATGTATAAGAACATAAGAAGGTCACAAACGAGAAGCGACAGTTGTGCCTACTGTACCTGCCCATGTATCGGTATTTAGTAGCTAATTGATCCAAGGACCTCATCTAGCTGTTTCTTGAGAAACAAATCGGATATCAGTTTCAACAACATAGCTGAGAAGCTTGTTTCATATTACCACAACCCTGCGCATGAAGAAGTGCCTCCTGGTCTCACTTTTAAAAGTACTTCCATGTAGTTTCCTCTTGTATCCTGAGGTGTGTGTTTCACTGTTCATTCCAAATAAATCCACTGGGTATACTTTGTCAATGCCTTTAAGAAATTATGAATGCCCTTATAATCTTTCCTGTTCGATACCGAAAAGGTTTAGTAGTTAGTTTAGCCTGTCACTGTAGGACAATCTTTTCAGCCCAGAAGTGATTCCAGAGTAGCAATATCTTTTTTTGTAGAAGGTGACCAAAACATACACAGTATTAAATCTTACTAGTGCTTTGTACAGTACTGACATTGTCTTGATTCAAATTCTACACTTTTAAGTATACTAACATTTTATTGCTAATCCACATTGCAAAAAAGATGGAAATAAACACCATAGTCAGAAGGAGCCTCTTCAAATTCAATAATTCTGATTTTGCATTTATAGTTTGTTTTAGCTACCCGATCATGATATTCAGCATTGTCTGACGATGGTTGCTCAGTTTTGAATTTTATTTAAATCTTTGAATTTCATTCTGTGCTTCTTCAGGGTTTGCTAAGCCTTCAATTTTGAAAGCTGCCTATAAAATCTTGCTTATTCAGGTCCTTTCATGGCCTTGATGCTGTTGTTTTGTAGTCAGTAAAGAAAATGCCAAGCACCAGTGGACTAGCTGTCACGGTCTCAACATGGGAGTTTCTTGTGATTCCATCTTTTACAAATGACAGCAGACTGAACCCATAGTGTTGGCTAACGGACGCTGTGTTTCCTCCGTCTTGCAGCCTCCAATGCTTACGTGCAGCAGTCAGCTGTGCCCATGGACACAGAGACGCATGGGGGGGAAGATGTGGCCGTGTTCGCCCGCGGCCCCATGGCCCATCTCTTCCATGGTGTCCAGGAGCAGAACTATATCCCTCATGCTCTGGCGTACGCGGCCTGCCTTGGAGAGAACCTGGGTCATTGTCTTTCCCCCTCCTCTACCACTGAGCAAGACGTGATGAACACCGCTCCTCGACTGCCTTCACATCTCATCGCCCAGCTGACTGTGGGGATCCTGGCCACGACCCTTCTGCACTGACCAGGGCTTCCTCAGTCGTTAGATCCACAGAGCTAAAATCTTAGTCCTGTTGTGTTTCGACAAAGGTTGTAAAATGTTAATGCTAGACATTCTGTCTGTGTACTCATTCCAAATAGTTTTGAAATATTTGCAGCCCCAGTCCCTTCTCATTTTGAATGAGAACTGGGCATTGTTCTGGCCAGGGGAGATAGTAGAAGTCTGTCTCATGCTCCTCAAGGCAACCACATATTGTCTACCACTGAGAGATTCTATTCAATTCACCAGAGCATTCCAAGTAGTAAAGGTCAGTGAGTGTTAATGTATCTATAACTGATGATGAGCTTTCATTGTGATTTCTGTATTAAAGGTGCGGAAAACAGTTCTACTTGAATTTTACTTCTGTTTCTCATGACAGACATTTTAGTACTATTAATAAGAAAATATTTAAAAAAAAAAACAAAGAGCTGGAGTCTGTAATTGCAATTGTGCTGCTTTGCAAGGAAAACCAGGCTGCTGCTTGAAGTCGTGTTGGGTGACCATTAGGTGTTGCTCTTCTTGGACGTATACATATCAGTGTTGTACTGGGTGCTGTACTCTGGTTGAGCCCCCCTGAAAGGACCTGACTACTTGGTACTTAAGGATCCCATGACAACGCATGCAACAGGAGTAATATTAGTCACAGTGTCCTGGTTAAATTCCACTTTGGTCTTGTACAAGTTGACCTGCCTGTATATCTTCATCATGATCTCTAGGATGTACAGCAGTCCATAGTGAGTGTGACAGCTCATGGTTCATTGTCTAGCTAATTCCTGTTGCCAGGTTCATCTTCTGACTGAGACAAGATTCACTGGACACCCTGATCACCAAACGGACAGAAGTGCATAACAAACAAACAGTGAGTGGACAGATCGATTGCTCTGGTACAGCATCTCTGACGTCAAAGAGGCAGGTCGTGCCAGATATTGTTGAGTTAGAGAGGAAGTGATAAAACTACCTTTGGAAAATTATCTGCAGTTTATTTTGGAATTAGGAAAACGATGGCATAAGAGATGCACTGTGGTTAAAGAAAATATATTTTATAAGTCTGCTGTTGTCTGACTTTATAAAGTTTTAAAATTAGCTTTCTTACTGTGATGAACCTCATAGCTCCCATGTTTTAAATTAGATTTTGTATGACCATTGTAACTTATTTCTGTGAATGATTGCATATGAGTTTAATTCATATGTATTTTGAAATCTTTATAACTCAGACACCGCTGATTTCTAATATTCAAGCGTTGATTAAATCATAATCAAAATGAAGTTCAGTATTAACAGCTCATCCTGAAAGCTGCTAATGACAAAGGACTTTTTCTGGTTTTCTCGTCTTATGAAATTGCAACAAAAAGGTTGGATGTCTTATGTTGTTCCTAAAAATAGTGATCTACTGTACAAAACTAGTTCAGATTTATGTAGTTGTCCCTCTTATATACTTTTTAATAATGTCTGCATCCCACCTTCCGCCATCGTAAAGCTAATTATTCGTTGGAAGAACCTCATGACACAGACCACCTCTCCATCATAGATTAAATTGACATCGACGATTTAACAGACGCCAACTGTATTACCTCACCGACATGTCTTGGGAATGCGAGAGAAAACCAGAAAACCCGGAGGTAACACATACAGAACGAACAATCCTCACACAGGAGTCCAGAATGGAACACATGACTCAAAACCCACTTCCCACTAGCAGAAACGACCAAGTGCATCCCGTCTTCATTTTCACTTCACGGACAAAGACCAGTCTCTATCTTGGCGCAAAAGAAGCGCACACTTCCTCGGTATAGGCTAATTAATGTTGCTCCTCATTATATAAAAATGCTTGTGCTAATGAGATTACTCAGATTGATGTAAGAAAAAGAAAACAGAATAAGACATACTTGAGAAGGGTTTGATCACGACTCCCTTGAATAAACGAATTTTAGCTCTCGAAATCTCGAACCCAATTAAAACAGTTCATGAATAATATAAAAAGAGAAGAAACACGAATACTTTGCACCTGTCAGCGGAGCAAAGTCAATAAATATTCTCTTAATATTTACCAACCCTAAGGCTGGCTCACAGCCTATGTATTTAGTGCGCAAACAACGGCACACTGCCTCAGGACCCAGCAACTGCTAATTGATTTTAACTGGAAATGTTGAACAGCGCCCTTGACTCGGCTTTGTGCGTTTCGCACCGTTTGATCTCTTATTCACAGAATCCGCGTCGCTAATTGAGAATTGTAGGCGGTGCGCGTGTGATAGCCTGTGTGAGCAGCTGATAAATAATGCAAAACATTTAAAAGATCAGACCGTTTTTCTCTACTTTGTAAAGAATTATGTTAATTTCACTCATTGCTCCTGTCCTTTGGGAGGTGACTTATGATTCGTGTTTTGTTTTTTTCCGTTGTGTTTTTAATTCAGACAAACAAATATGTATTGAATAATCATAAAGCAATATTAAGAACTGTAGTTTATTCTGAGCATAATAGTGAAGCGCTTTACGATAATCATTTTGTATCTATGCTCAAAGATGTTTCAAAACACTACTTAAGCGATTACTTCCAGCACGACGAATATCGCAATGCCCCTTAACACACCTGACATGTTCAGTTTAGATTGGAATGTTGTTACTGTGGGGATGATCTACAAGTCTGTGTTCACTTCTTCGTTTCCGCAACTGCCATTACGTGCTATGATCACCTATTCTTAATTAAAAATAATCAAAATTAAAATGTCAGACGTGATAGCCTGTATGCGTTGACAAGAATAACAGAATTCTTAGTTATAAAAAATGAGCCGAGGTCTCATCAGGCGCACTGTATTTCTTGAAAGGGAATGAAAGCACGAGGGTAATCCGGGTTTGGTCGGTTGCTAGTAGATACCGTAAATTATCCGAGGAATCTCACCCAGGTGTTGCTCGGAGAAATCCAGAGTACTCGACACTGCAACAAGGCTAGATGGGTTTGCTTTCTCTCCCTAATTAATTACAGCAGCTCGACAGTTAGACGTTCTTTCCTATGTGTCTTTTTAGTGAGCCCCTTTGGACAGTACTGCATACGAATTTAGACGAATTTGTCTTGGCCCCACGGGTAAATTCTGTTTAATGTAAATAGACAAAATGACTCTGTGGAGTCTGAACGACAACATTTAAACTTGGATGGAAACTGGCCACATAACGTGCCTTTATACGCTTTATTCTACGTCAGCTCTCACCTGGAAAGTTTACAGTTTGGAGTGAGATATTGCAAATTGAAAGGGTCTGGTTATCGTGTATCACGTCCACAAGGACGGCAGCATCAGTGGCTCCACTGTGAGCCCTTTGCATATACCGCAGGTCCTTGCTTCACTGGACTACTGTAAGTACTGTGAGGAAGAAGAGGGTGTCGACAAGATGGGTTACCTGCGGAATCTCTCAACCTTAATCCCAGCGAATTTGTCCAGCCACCAACCCCAAATGAGCCAAAGACTCCTGTAGAAAGAGAGAGCACTACCTCAGGCATTTGACAGCTTGAGATTTTGCTCTCGTGCCCTTTCTTCTTGCCGCAGAGAAATTCAGGCAGTATGTCATATGGGCAAAGCTTACTGTTCTCCCAAATACAGAGAGCGCTTCTGCCTGTCGAGGACAGTTATAGTGGGTCACTTGACAATCCCCTTCCTGGGAGAGCAGTAAGTCCCTCTTTTTACACTATTGTTCACGCGCGGCACCGTGGCGCGATGGTTAGCGTTTCCGCCTCTCAGGGCTGGGCCCCTGGGTTCAATTTTGACCCATCTGCGCAGAGACTGTATGTTCTCCCCGTGATCACATGGGTTTTCGCCGGGCGCTGCGGTTCCCACCCACAGTTCAAAGACATACTAGCCCTGGTGTGAATGAGTGTGTCTGTATGTGAGTCTATTGCGCCGTGCGATGGACTGGCGTCCCGTTCAGGGGCTTGTCTTGTGCCTGTTGCTTGTCGGCATAGACTCCCGCTCCCTCGTGACACAGTACTGGATAAAGCGGTTAGAAAAATCAGTACTGAAACGTGGAAGACACCGAGAACAGACGATACAACAAGCCTGCAAAGTCTTGTATTGCTTCCAGAAAGGCAGCTTGTGTAGAATTTCACTTTTTCAACCGGACGGCGACCTTCAACACAACGCAGCTAAACGTGAGGAAGTGAAACCGGAGAGATGTAAAGACTAAGAAAAAAAAAACATGAAATGAAAGAAGACTTCTGCACGAAAGTGCTCCTGCAGGTGATTTAGACGAAAGTGACGGTGATAGAAGGTGACATAATGCTTGCAGGAAATCTAAAGTGCAGGGAATATTTTCTGCGGAGAAAATGTCTCTATTTTGAGCTCAAAGCGAAGTCACTTTAAAGGGTTAATTATGTTCTCTTCACATCCCGGCTAATCTGAACAACGTCTACAGCTCTAGATCTGCGGTCCGACAAAAGACATCAAGTAACAGACAGAGCCAGCAGATGACGCTGCAACACAGCCATATAGACATACTGGGCACAGGCGCTCATACGCTACATATTTATTTAGAAATAAAGAGACCTCTGCAGGAACACTAAATATGGTTTGCAAAAAAAGAGAGACAAATAAGAAAAGTGCCAGACTGAAAGAGAATGAAAGCAGAAAATGGCGGAAACTGAACAAAAAATGGGACGTATTGTGCAATTCCTGCGGTCCTACTTGTTTCTAACGTTTGATTGTAGGTCAAACACACAAAAGCCATATTTTAAGGAATTGATCATAAATTTTATTACAGCTCTTAAAAAGTCATATGTTATTTTATTATTTTCCTTTGCTAGAGACCACTTCCAGTGTTTTCAAAACAATTGTTTCTGAATTAAACAGTAGAGGGTGATAAATCCGTCTGGGTTTCGGCACACAACGCGGGATTAATGCTTGGTTCTTAGTGTAGGTTTCTGATAAGCGAGTCGTGGTCAAGTCTTGTCCTTTTTGCCACCGCTTTCTGTCTGACCTGGTAACGTGACAATTTTGCCGAGCTCTGACGGTGTCGGCTGTTTTGTACTGTGTACTAGCAGTCGTTTGCCTCGGCTGCGGTCGAGAAAAATCGACACAGAAAAGCGCAGTGCCGAGTTTAATTAAATCCTGCCTACATACATTACCTGTCGGCAGTGTTATAACACACCTAATACTGCCACAAAGCCTCATTTCAGTCACACACACACAATGTCTTCTATCGGTTGGGGCATTGTGTGTGTGTGACTGAAAGGAAGAAAAATATCTCTCTTTTGTTTTCTGCCCTGTTGTTCTCGGTCCAACACGTACATGTATAGCTTATGGGGATTAACATGACCGTCCTTATGAATGAACACCTGGAGCAACTCTAGGGTTCGCCAGGGACGCTAGAAAGGAGATCCATGCGGATCATTGATCATTGAGCGTCTTGCGCTCTCCAGGGTCTTGAAACCAAGAGCGCAAGGAGGATGTCCCATTGCTGTATCTCTTATCAAGAACAGCTGTTATAGTTCCCCCTTAATCGACGAAGAGTGTTTTGGTAAACAACATCGCCTCGTTTACCTGATTATTGCTGTATTTTTGAAGAGCCCACATAACAATTTACATATCTAATCCGTGTTCTAACGGCAAGCACACTAATCAGTTTCCATTGGCTATGACATTCCCACGGGTTTTATCGTTGTTATGAGAAGGAATCACCGTGTTTTATCCAGACCAGATAAAATTCAGTTTCCAAACGAATATTCTGCCTTGAAAATAATGACACAACAACACAATACCTGTGGATATCCATTGTATTCTTACAGACATCGGGGATTTTAGTCATGAGTTTAATGCAAGATTGAGGATTGAGAAAAGATCTGAAGAGCTATAATGAAGGTTGAGGTTATAGTTGATTGTTCTGTAAACATGCTTGTTTGCCCTGTACAACCTTAAATGGAGTTTGGATTGTTCTTCCAATGCATATAAGATCATACTCCAAATATGAGGGATTTTTAATGCAGAGTATGATTTATCCATGCTGAGATGCAGAAAAAAGTTTTAAGTTGTATGAAATGTATCTCCAGAAACATACTCTTTTAAGTATTACAATAGTCTACCTTTCAATAGGAAGTTAATTGTAAATGGGATTTGCGATTTGTGCAAAGTTCAAAATTAAAACTTTAAAATAAAAATTTTAAAAAAAGGTTGGAGGGAGGGGAATGAAAATTTCTCAAAAAGTAACCTAAGCCCAACCTTGAGGACTGCCTTTTGACACTTAACACCTAAAAACTGCAAATCTGCTTAGTTTTTATCTGGACAATAACCATACATATATTTCAGATATTAAAATGTTGTAATGTGATTTTACTTCAATTGGGGTCTTAAGATGTAATTAATCTTCCTACTTTTTTAGACTTTGAGGTTGTTTCCACATTTAACTTTTAGCTCTAAATGTACTGATAGCATCCTGATATGAAACATGCCATTTTCAACAACACTAGCATATACACCTTTATGTACTCTCTAATCTCAGGATGAATACAAGCCCCAATATTTTTTTTTATCAACTGATTGCAAATTTAAAGGAGGTCTTGAACAGATAATTGCCTTTGATTAAGAACTTGACTGGAACATAAACCACATGACACTGAAATCCTCCAAGACCATTACATTCAGAGGATACAGGAGCATTAGAATTGAAGCTCACTCCTTGCCTGCTCTGTAGCTCATAGTGCAGTACGGTAGATAGTCCCTATTACTAGGTGATGCAGCTAAAATTGTGCTGGAAACCCATATAGGTGGTGTAGATAATATTGCTCTTTCATTACTCTGGGGTGTTGGGTTCAATTCCAGCCTTAGCCTATCTATGTGAAGAATGCACATTGTACCTGTAGGAGCTACTATAGCAGCCACTGTCTCCTGTATTTTTTTAACTGCGTTCTTTGTCTTTTTTTTAACTTCCAAACATCCTCAGGAGTCTCCAGGCTCAACCACAGTCCTACTGTATGGCCATCTGAGTGAAACACTAATCCTCATTCGGAAACGTTTTGGACTGAGGAATACAACCATCATTATTTCCAGCAATTCTTCACTTATTCGGCCCATATTTAGGCTCTTAACCTCTGTACAGTATCTTGCATTTAAAAACGCAGCTTCTTGGTGATTAATTGTTCATGATTCATGATCATTGTTCCAGTTAAGATTTTTTTTTTGCTTCTATCTAGTTGGACGTCAAGCTAACAGGAATATTTAAATGAGGCACTAAATGTTAATAATGGTGTTTCTACAGTATGTGGTACAAAAGAAGAACGCAAAGTACGTAAAGTATTTGGCTGTGGTTTTATGACAAAGTGAAATAGATTGGTTTAAAGAGCTCTTTTTACGGGATTATCATCACGGAGGGAGATGGGTACAAGATGTGTCAGCTTTGACAACGTGTAATTAAATTAGACCTTTCTTCTATACAAGGTGATACAATGCAGCGCATAGTGCTTTTCTCAGTCAACGGGATGACAGGAACAAAGCCCCAGCGATAAAAAAATGCTATTATTCTCAATCTTTCTATTCTCAAAGGAAACACTTGACTTTTAACATATTGTGACAAGCCTCCCAAAGATTTCTGTTTTCAAATCAAGCCTGCGATCTGTATCAGACTGTCTCTTGCACCCCCTCTGTTGCATACAGTACTCCACCTCCACAGGTGGAAACACGGCATATGGAAACGGCCCACCCACTCCAAGCCGAAAAGGGGAAACCATTAAGCAACATCAGCAACCGTCTATTTTTTAAACGAATACAGGATACAGGGTAATTTTTATGCTGTTTGAACTATTTACAGGAGTTCCCGAATTTCAAGTTTTTAAATGTAAATGTAAGCACTACTTAAAAATCTCAACACTTTCTAATTTATTGCAAGAAAGCGGTTGAAATTCTATCGCGTAGTATGCAGCCCTACATATTACCACGCAAACCGTTAAATAAAACTCGCACTTGCGATATCAAATACTGCAGTTTCATCTAAGAGCACAAAACTACGTATGAAGCCAGTCCAGTTGTTCTTAAGACTGTGATTTATTGTTCTTAACAGCAGTTTTAGGTATTAGTTGTGGGATTTAAAAAAATATTTAAAGTGTGACTTCGTAATGTATTCAGTAGTAATCCACAATGTTAATCCACCCCGACATAAACACCAAAACATTCGACACACGAAGGGACAAAATCAAGGAGAAAATAACTTCATACCATTTTCCCCCTCCTTTACCAGTTATTTTTCTTTCCCTGCCTCTTTCGCTTCTCTGTCTCTCTCCCTCTCTCCCCCTCTACTTCTGTTTCAATGAAGGGCAGAGCAAGGCAATGACTCAGACCAATCAGAAGCGAGTCCTTTCTCAGGAAAAATCCTCATAGTGATTTATAAACCCGTTTCCCATGGCTTTAGACTGACGAACGCTGTGCCGTCTCCTTCTCCAAGAGCGGCTGTTGTAGCGCACACGCAGAACGCGGGGCGGTCAGAGGCGAGACCCCAGGCTGGTGTGTGGAGTTCACCGGAGTCCTCCAAGGGAGCGAGCTCAGGGATCACAGCGCGCCGCCGCCAATGCTGCTGCTGAACCCGTCTTTGCCAGCGCTGTCTATCGGCCGTGGTGCTGAAACCACCGCGCCGACCTTTCCCAGGGTGACGTAGCTACAAAGACTGAGCAGCGGCTTTTTAACACTCCGGCAAGACACACAAGAGGTTGGGAAGAAACAAGCGAAGGAAAAGGGCAGTTAAAAACTCCCCCCAAAAGATGAACTAAAAATCTTACGCCTCAGATAAACAACAAAGCTGAGAGACTGGACAGTTTTTAGCCCGTCTTCAGCTGGTTCCTAGCGTGCGAACACGCCGCCTCCTCTTCACAACTCACAGCAAGATCTTGTGGGGAGAGAAAGAGACACGCAGAGAGAGACTACGTGTCCATGAGGTACGCTGGGAATTGTTACCAGTCTGGAAAAAGGGTTAATGTTTCCAAGTAGAAAAAAGTAAAAAATAAAATCCCATCCAATAATGGGCTGTATTGGCTCGAAAACGCCTATTGGTAAGAATGAATTTGTTCTTTTTTAACTTAGCAAATAATTTTGTCCTCTGTATACAATACTCGTCTCAGAGAGTTGTACATTTATATTGGAGAGGTGTCTTTTTGGAGCTCGACGTGTTATGCTTAGGGATGTCATCTCTGCGGCTGTTTGTTCACAATCTCTCTCCTGGGGCGGAATTCAGACAAACCCAGACGCAGCATGTGTGAGAACCGGCTGTGGCAGACGTGAGGTTAGAAGGTTCGGCTTTGTTAATCCCAACAGCTAGAGTCGGTTATCGGGAGCATCTACAGGTTTGGGGCGGGGGGGTTAAGCAAAACGAGACGGTTTCGACTCTTCTGCCGATAGCGGACAACCGCGCTTGTGAAACGTATTTTCAACAGTTAATCAAGGCACAGACATGAGCCATTGTAATACCGTCTGCCGTATGTATGTCCAGCGCTTTCCAAATACGATGTTTTAAATTGCTCCATCCCAAATTAGAAGAAAGCCAAGCATGGCTATAGCTCAATGCAAGTATGGGTCTTATCAACGTTATTATGTTTTAGTGCGAATATCCCAACACTGATATTTTTACTGTGCATCTTAAATGCCATTGGTTGATGAATGGAAAGAGGGCAAAGACAGATATAGAATCGCTTGTTCTGGGTGAATCACAGTCCATTATTATGCAGCTGTGGTTTTCGGTTGCCAAGATACAAGGTTCTATGATTGCCTGCCCAAGTCGATTTGACTTATTTTACGTTCGAGTCAGTTATCATTCCATTCATCGTGAAATGATATCACCGTTCCGAATTCTATCAGGACAACATATGTCTTTTCTCCATCACGGGTAATTTATTTGGCAGCAGGAGCATGTAAACGAAAAAAGAGAAACACAACGTATCGCTCAGGTTTCGTACAGTATTTAAACAAGACATGAAACCCGCCATCAATACAATTTGCAAAGTCAACACACATATATGTCTTCCCTTTATTGCTTTAATCATTAACCTTTATATACTCATTTCAATACGAATGATGTATCAGGGTTGTATATAGTGCTTTCGGTCGAATTGCAGGAGATCAGAAAGCCAGCATGCTCTATTTGACCTGAAACTGCGTCGTTTTAAGACCCTTACATGACTTAGAATTACCAACAATGGACCTGGTTCTCTGCAGAAAGCATGCTTCTCGACTATCTGTCATTTCCAATCAAGCAAAGCTTGTGGCCAGGTCACCGAGAAAGTGTCAATGCCTAAACACCTGTGGGTGAACAATCAGCTTGTGCATGTCCACGTTAATAGAAAATGTCCAAATATTCGTGTGCATGTGTCTGGGTTTTGCATTGCACGAGCATGTGAGCTCCCGAGACCATTAAAGCCTACCCCCACCCCACCACCCGCCACACAGTCCTTTTTCTCCTAGTCTTTAGAAGAGACAATGGTGTTAAATATCATAACAAAGTAGATTGTACAATTAGTTTAGCTTCTGGAGTGTACTGCGGTCTTTAGTGGCCAGGCGCCTCAGTACTGACATGAAACATTGATTAATAACACACGATGAAATACAAAATACAATCAGACTTGATTTTCAGGACAGTAGTACAGTTATGCCTACGTAGTACAGCGTGTGTACAGGGCAGTATCATTTTGTACTGTAATGTTCATATCATGACAGCTTGTATTTGTAACAGCTTCTGTTGAACAAAGCTTTGTTACGTAAAAATATGCTAAACGGCGTCCAATCAATTCCTAAGACTTCCATAGTAATAAAGAATTATACGCAATGCGTTGTACACTGATTTTTATTGTTTAGTTTAGTGGCTGAAGATTAAACGTGTGCCGAAATCTAACGAAAATACCGATTAAAGTGTAAAGTGCAGAAATACTGCGTGGTCTCCATGTCTAACTCGTGTACTCACTTTTGAATTGCGTAGGAGCCCGGAGACTACAGCTGTCAACTGTATGTTACAGAATAGCAAGATATGTCCATAATGTTACAGGTGAACTTTTAGGCTTCTTTTCAAAACAATATGTTATGTTGAATACAGTATATACATCTAAAAATAATCCGTGTTGTTAACAACATTAACAAAGTAGTTCAACTACTTGGATTAAATGTGCAATGACTATTTCGTTACAGACTCCCAATACTCCGTTATTGAGAAAATGCCATGTTGGCGCGCTCGGCAAGTTTCGCACTTTCGTAAAAGAGCAGCTACTGGTGAGCTGTGCTGGTCTTATCAGTGGCACAGTGACTTTCCTTTCTTGTTTCAAATGAGGCTGATGCTGTTGAAGCGCTACACAGATTTAACACTGTTTCAAATCCTGTTACCGTCTTCTAGTTATCATTAAAAGGTGTGGGGCAGTTCAGAGTGACCCAGTTTTTCTATTTTTTTTAACCTGATGTTAAATTGGAGTTTTCAGAGAGGACCTTTGCCATTACTATGGCAACAGCAGGAGCACGATCAGGAACCCCTGCAAATGAGAGAAATGCTGTTCGTAAAATATGGCTAGGTATCATATACTGTACAATAGATTCAAAGGAAAACGGGCTAATTACAAGCGTGAAACACTAGGCTTCCGTATGAGGTCACTGTAGCGATCTGGACCAGTACAGAGGGGAACACCTCGCTCCAATTACTGGAATCTAATGCCCGGCCGCCCCGCAGTCTCAGACACACCGGGCGCTACGGCCACAGAGCGAGTCCGCCAAACTCGTTAGCGTTGAACCCAAGCCTCCGGTAACAGGGGGGATTAAACCGTGCAGGGTTGACAAAAGAACCAGCTCGGATTATGTCAAACCTTGTTGACTAAACGGTTTAGCAACGCTTTCTCGTTCCTTGCCTTTACGTGACGTCATGCCTGGTTTACCTTGTCCCTGTCTTCCCCATCTGCTGCTCGCTCCTTTCGCCGCTGCGGTGTGATCTCGCACAATGGCACCTGCCCCAGCCTCCCGGCAGATGTGTCTGAACAGCGAGCAGGAAGCTGAAATGCTACAAAGGAGCGGAGCTAATGGATTATATTTGTGATGTTATCTTATTTACTTAGCACGCCACAGGAAAACAATGTATTTTGCTGAAAGTCTCTGACACTACACGCCTGTTGATATATCAGGACACAGAAAAAAATGTATTGAAAACGAACAATGAATCTCTTTTTGCTCAAACATCTGAGTCAAGATATATTGTACATAATATACGCGATACATGGTATTTTATACATTGAGTATAATATGTTATACTTTTACATGTTGCCGCAAAGCACAAGACGGTTTTGCTTTTCAGCACTGTGAAACGGTCTGCGCCAAATAGTATTCATACACATTACAGATATACACATATAATATATAAATAATCATATATTCAAACACATAGACCTACTGTATGTATGCAAATAAAAATACAGGATACAGGCAATGGACACGGGTAATTAATTTCATAGGGGATTTGTTTTAATAACACCAGCAGATTATTTTAAAAAGCTTATTTTATATAGGGTCAAATGACACTAATAATACAACTATGTGCTCTAAAACGCATTTACTAAATGGAATTCAGAGAGAAAAGGATGTGTGCATATATATTGGTAGCGCTCGGCGGTAGTTAAGGGCTAATATTTGTGTTACTGACTTGCTAATTTTGAGCCACACAGTCGTAGCAGCAGATCGATGTGTTGCCATAGCGACATGCATTGGAGGCAAGGGGACGTGGGAGCGATGCGCTGGGTCTCAGCGTGCGAGCCGGGATGACTCCGAATCCTGCCGCCTTGGCGCGGGGCAAAACAGCAAAACCTCCAGCTGAGCGTTTAACGACAAATAAAGCTGTGTGCTAAAACAGACTTTTACAGGGTGCTCTGCATCACTCTATGTGCTGTTTACATACTTTTCGTCCATTGCAATAACAACTACAGCTTTTTTTCCCCAATTAGTCCATAATGCATTGTAAATTGCTCACAATTACTTAGCAAAATCAATTGTACAATCTTGAAATACAGCAACAATGGTAATTCTTACACTTGTACAGCTTTTTTCTGGACACTCCACTCAAAGCACTTTACACATGACGGGAACTCGACTCCACCACCATCAATGTGTAGTGCCACCTGAATGATGCGACGGCAGCCATAGTGCGCCAGTACGCCCACTGCACATCAGCTTTCAGCGGGGAGGGGAACAGAGAAATGAAGCAACTTTATAGACGGGGACTATTGGGAGCCCATGATATGTAAAGGCCAATGAGAAATTTGCCACCACTACTCTTTTCAAGTAACGCCCAGGGATTTTAATGACCACAGAGATTTGAGATCATGGTTTTACATCTCATCTAAAGGATGGCTCCATTTTTAATGGAATAGTGTCCCCATCACTATATTGGGGCATTAGGACCCACACAGGCTGCGGGGGCAAGCGCCCCCTACTGGCCCTACCAACACCACTTTTAGTTGCAGCTTTAGCTTTTCCATTGGGTCTCCAGACCAGTTACTGGCCAGGCTCACACCTGCGTAGCTTCAGTGGATTGCCAGTTGTGAGTTGCAGGGTGATATAGCAAAGGGAGATTATTGTCTACTCGCAAAGTAATGGGGGTAAAAGAATGACTCATTGCAACACAAAGTTTACAAACTGTTTACTGTGTGCATTTGGTTTTGTTATCATACCAAAAATGCCTTTAGTGGGACTAGAAAATACAATAGTCCCTCTTTCTCAGCAACAGAAACCCTATCAAATCGAGCATTGGGGGTGGATAATTGCTTTACTGTGCATATTGATTGCATATTAGAAGGAGAGCCGGATGTCTAACCAGACAGATCATATACTGTGCCATATCTTTATTAGGAACATCTGTCACAGCACAGAGTGCCTGATCAGGCCACCGGCACGAAACAGCTGGATAATTCTATTATTTTAT